ACACACACACACACACACACACACACACACACACACACACACACAGAGGCACACACACACAGAGAAAACTCGATTGCAGAGATCTCCTGGTTTGGCCAGGAAGCATGGTCAGATTTGGTATCTGGGTATGTTCGGGTGACCCAGAAAGCGTTGAAGAGGTGTGTACCTCAACATAAGCCAGCGAGGAACTTGGCATTTCCTGTTTCTCTGTGACCCAGAAAGCGTTGAAGAGGTGTGTACCTCAACATAAGTCAGCGAGGAACTTGGCATTTCCTGTTTCTCTGTGACCGTCAGTCAGTGACAGAAAAAAAAGGGAAAAAAAAGTTTACCAGGTTACCAGGGGCTAAGTCCCACCACCAGGGGTTTAGACTTTGTTTCGAGTATGCGCCGGTTCCTGCCATCCGATCTGAACATCTCACGGCCGTACTGCGGCCACGTTGAAAAATACTTGGAAGGAAGACTAACCCTTGGTTTCGAGTATGCGCCGGTTCCTGCTGTCCGATCTGAACATCTCACGGCCGTGCTGCGGCCACGTTGAAAAATACTCGGAAGGAAGACTAAGCCCCAGGTCGCTCGGTTTCAAGCTATCTCCTTTTTCAAAGTTTTTTCCCTTTCCACTGTTTCAGTGTTTCCAGCTAATTGTCTCACAAATAACCAGTCCCATTTTATCTTTTTACAAAACTGTCACTGCTTCTTGCTGAGTCCTCCCATTTTTTGCCCCCACTCGTCTCCCTCCGTTTCCGCACTTGTGTGGAAAGAACAATGAAGGCCCATAAAGAAGTAGCGTCACACACACAAAGAAGGCGTGTTCAGAGCTCACCCTTTCGGTTTGTTGAGGATGAAATACAGTTTCGGTGCTGCCTTTCTGGGAAGCTGGTTTCCATTAACATAGATCGAGTCCTTTCGTGGATCCACCTGTGTCTGGTAGAGTGATCAAACATTTCGACACAATCAACCAACCAACCAACCAACCAATCAACCAAACAATTTGCTCCTTGACCCATCCCCACCCTACCCAGTCACCAAACAAGCCATTCATAAAACAATCAAGTCAATCACTCAGTTGATTA